CTGCGGTTGTGTTCAGACACTGGCTGGATGAGGTTGTGTTCAGACACTGGCTGGATGAGGTTCCAGTGGCCGGTTGATCGGTAGTTTTCCGTGGTTTCTCCGATCAACGCCAGTCGAATGCCGGAGCAGTACCCTAAGAAACTGATCTCAGACTATGAATTGAATTGATTTGAATTAATGCCTTATTTTACGTGGCGAGACTCAGGCCATGAGGCCTGCTCTTCCGTCTGACTACACAAATTTCGCTACGCTCCTTTCACAAACTAGTAGAGAAAGGAGGTATTTCTTGAGCGAAAAACAGGCGATTTGAATTTAGCACAGAGGCGTCATTTAGGCTTGAGGATCTTTTACATGCAAGTAAATCTACTAACATGGGACAGCCGGCTTTACTTCACCTCCGTAGGCGTACGAAGGATTTTTTTCGCCCTTAAAAATCCACGGCTTCGATCGGGTTTGAACCCGCCAACTTGGGTAAAACTGCGCGATCTTCTGGTGTTTTCATAGAAACGTTGATGTTTTGAAAACGTCAACGTGGACGAAGCATTTCTAACCCGCATCCTCTTCCGAACGCCGCGATGCGTCAGTGTTTTGATGCGCGAGTGTCTGTTCTGGCCAGTGTGCGCGGGCGGCAGGGGGCCCTGTGGCGCTCCCAGACGATCGTGCGGTGAAAGAGGGGAAGGGGAGGGAGAGCGTCCTCCCTGCACCCTGGCGGCGTCTTGGCGCGACGTGGGCGGCGGACGCAAAGGTAGCCGTATAGTGCACGCACACACATACACAAGGTTGCACGTTCTGGCCCAATCATGCTCTCTGTTTAATTATTGTTGACGAGACTCGTTCACATTAGAAGTTCCGACCATTAAGGGGAAATAGAAAATGTAGAAATCATGGGACTTGGTTTGGCAAGTACAGAATCAAATCCCGTGAACTAAATTTCCATTTTTTAAATTTATTTTATTTATTTATTAATTTTTATTTATTTATTTTATTTATTTATTAATTTTTATTTATTTATTTTATTTATTTATTAATTTTTATTTATTTTATTTATTTAATAACAAAATAGTTAAAAACTGTGGCGCATTTCATGGTATAAATGAAATTGTGTAATTTTATTAGCTCTGGGAGCTCTACCACAACCTTTATACTGGTATAAATTGTGGAATGAATAATATTTAGCATCAAGCGATTTCGCTAGATTGATTAAATATTTGCTATCGTGTAATGAAAACTCTTTGCAACGGCGAATGAATTCCAGGTGATTTTTAGCAAGTATCAGCCATGACTGACAAGAGTGATGTGATACCTGTTGCGATCATATAGTAAGTGTTCATAATTATAATAGTAGTAATCATTTACCAAGAATTTAATGTTTTATTTACTATTGGTTCATATATTTGCATATGAAGTAGTTATTTTATGCAGAGAGAAACTGCATTTAGTGGCAACGTCGCGATTTGAGTTTGTACGTTTGCGAGTTCGATCCCGGAATGCATTCATTAATTTTTTTTTTTTTAGTTTTCACTAAGGTTGTCTTATTTCCGCATAAAATGTATGGGAAATAACGCGATGCAAGGCTGTTTGTGTAAATCGCGAAGGCCGAACGCCAGATACTTCATGCGTCACTTGGGCCTTGAAGTATTGTGGCGTCGAAAAAAACCAAAAGCGAAACGCAATCAAATGCGGGAAATATTTTTATGAAAAAAAAAAAAGGAATATCGGAACTGTTATCTGTAAGTAATTTATGTGCGATTCTTGAAGTTATGTTATGCATGATGTTCGCTTCAGACCTTCTGCTTTTTTCTGTGGAAGATACAATTTTTTTTAAAGGGGTCGAAAGAAGGAAAATGTGGGAATCCCTGGTCTAAACGAACTCTAATTTGCTCTGAGAACGATTAAGAGACACTCGTATCCCTCGTTCGGACGGCAACGTTTGATCGTATGAGAAATCTGGCGTAGGCCTCAGTTTTATGCCGCGGAGGCGAAAACGGAAACAGTGATGAGGCAACGGTCGCTGTGCTTTCGCCACACGTTCGTTGTCGTTTTAGGTCACCGACCGATTTTTATTCTTTTTTTTTTTTTTTTTTTTTTTCTTCGGCGTTGTGAAACGGCCAAGGAGCCGACAGAAGACAACTCTTAACGAATCGGTTCAGATCGTGCGGTTTGGGGTTAGGTAGTGATTTCACGAGTAATTTACGTCGTTGAGAAAATCAGACAAATACATCAGGAATTCATTAAAAAAATGTGATCGAAAGCAGATAAAAATTGTGCATGTGTGCGCGTGCGTGTCTGAATCAATTAAGTTATCAAATGGACGTTCGAGGCTGCTCTACAGTGCGATTTAAATCAAATGGATGTGCTGTGCTTTACAGAACATCGGTTATCTCGCGATGAACTTATCATTCTCCAAATTCCAAACTGTTCAGGCTGTTATTGTAGAGAAAGAAGTAAGCAGACAAGCCGCAATTACCGGATCTCGACAGGTCGCGTGGTTCCCTTACAGTATCAGCTTTCAGTTACACTCTAGTCTACTAATCAAAGAATTAGTGTTTCTGGAAAACGAGATATTGGAAAGCAAAGTGTGTCATTACTTCAGTACAATGATTGGTCAGAGGACTAAATGAATTAAACGTGGACCGCGTGGGTGGTGAACCTCTGGATGACGACTAGACCCGGGGGAATTTGGAACACTGCGCTTTAAGTCACGTAAAGTTGTAAGTGATCGGTGAGGTGGGTTTCTAGGTATTACCTACTTGCAGGTATGCTCAATGCTATTTTTATTCATGATATAACTCGTACGTCAAGTTCACGTCAAGTGGTCTAATTTTGGACGAGTACCCCGTGCAATTATCTCGAATTTTGAAGTTTCGAATGCCCAATACCAGATGTCTCAAAGTAACTTCATCGAAATAGCTCCATAGATGAATTAGTTTTGGAGATTAAGCGGTATTCTTTAACCCCAGGGAGTGTAGTTTGTACGGCATGTCTAAAAGGTTTTTGTAACTTTGAGATAAGTAAGCGATTGGTTGAGAACCATGGATAGAACTATGACCAATCCCATTCTGTCTCAAACAGGATTATCGAAATGTAAATTCCTATGCTCAAAGAGAAATGCTCTGGAGATTTTGATGAATAAATCGTTGTTTCTGATGGGAACATTAATTCATTGTCGTTACGTGCAAAAGTTGTTAGTTTTTCTATATCACGATCACTGCCAACATATACGGTCAAAGCTTCCTACATCCACCAAAGTCAAATACTTTAGACAAATCGAGATAAGTTTCCCAACTCTCTACGTCATTCAGTGATTGTAACACATCGCATCGTTCTCCAGGTAAAATTCGTTTTATACTGCTCTCTCTAGAATAATTTGAGAACAATGTTACTAATAGCCATTGCGTGCAGAAATTGAAAACAAACTGAACCAGAAGCAGTGCTAATTGCAAGTAAAATTTAAAAAACTGAATTTGATTTTTACTGAAAAAGGTTGGTATTTGACTGTTCTTCCGCCTATTTCTACTGTACGCATACTAAATTCTACTAAATTCTCTTTCTAAGAGCACCACTGCTTATGATTACCACTTATGAGCACTACTGCTTACTCAACAGCAAGGCTCCAAGGAAGAGACACCCGCCATTAATATTTATTTACATTTAATTATTGTATATGTTGCGTTATGGAACAGCAACTTTTTTATATTCGTGGTAAATTAACTGTTGTAATGGTACACATACTGCATTTTAGTTATTGATGAATTCGTGCATACCGTTTGTATTAAAATATTTAATTCATTGCAGTGTTATGCGCGAGTATTACTTTTCGTGTTCTGGTTCAGTGTGCATGCAACTTTAGAAAATAAGCAAAACATTTTTGTGTGGTTTTGTTAAACCGCAGTTTTGCTGCTACGGGCAAATAGAATCAAATCTAATTTGAGCTTTTCCAGATTTCTTCATACTTTCCCTCATTCATAAAATTACATTCACATATATTCTTGACAAAATTAAAACAAATTTAAATTATTTCGGGTTTGTTATTTCGTTCTCAAAGGCGCTGACGTTCATTACTCGTGTAATATTCACATAAAATATGTACATTCGCCTTATTTATAAATTACTCCTTCCTGACTTGAACATGATGGGTAAACATGTTTAATAAATCAAAGATTGTATGTTCCCATGGCGACAAAGACGGAGAGAAGTAAGGTAAAGGATAACACTATTGGTTTTCTACGTACATCACTTTCCTAATAAGTAGAGTGCACTATGACAGAAGGAATACCGAAAAGCTAGTTATGCATCAATTTTTTTTCCATCCCGCGCTGGTCCGTTCATAAAGCGACGTTACGGCGTAATTTGCTTCGCTTCTCAAAACATCGTAAATTAAATTTTAATGCAGGTAGTTATCTCTAGCCATTGTTAGCGTGGTCATGAGACGTATTTAGTATCCAATAAACACCAGAGGAGAGAGAGTTGCTACCTTTCCAAAGCCTTCGAAGTTCGACGGTCAGTGGTGTTCATGGCAGAGTAAGATGTATTACGTCTTTTGTAAATTGCGTAAATATTAATTACTAAATTATGTGGCGGCCCAAGGAAGAGCCGTGACGTGTGCTTTATGCGCTGCAAACGGCCCTCCCCAAGGTGACGTTGCAATAATAACAACTTTTCGACGATCTAAGACGCAAGAAAGGCGATGGAACACGGCGGCGTTTTGACCCTCTGGCCAAAGCTTGCGGAAAGCCTTCTTCCGCCCCAATACATGGGCGGTTCCATGAGTTCGCAGCCTAATGAAGATGTCACTCATAAATGAAAACCTTCTGAACAGTTTAGTCTGATCTGATTGTTGTAATGCTATACGTTTACTGTGGCCATTTCACTTGGTTTTGTGGAGAGACGTGCTGTAGTTGGATGCGGTGCGTGAAATCACTTGGTGCTTCTTTTTCTTAGTTATTATTGTTGTTGTTATTGTGATTATTATTATTAT